ATAAAAATAAAATTTGAATATCATATTTGAAAACGCATACTTTTAAAATGAAGAAAAAACAATTTAAGATTTAATTTCCACATGCGCATATTCAATTATCAAACAATCGGTTTTTAAAAACGATTTGAAAATGCTCGTATCAAAAACTAAAACATGGATTTTGGAAACTGAATTGAAAATTTTCGTTCTCAAAATTTAAATAAATATTATAGGTGCAAAACCTGGGTCAAAACTTTTTTAAAAGTAAAACGTTCCATACAAATTTGAAAACGAAAATTTCTTTGTGTGCTAAGGTCTAGTAACGATTCTCGAAATTAGCAAAAATTTCGTACAAGATATTTTTTTGCATAAAAACAAAGAAATATATCAAAAAATTGGGTATTGGAGACCAGGCTGCTTGACTTTGCCCTCCCGAAACATGATATGTATATGTATGTTCTTCTTCATATTTATCTTCGTCGCCGTTTTCGTATTCGTAATATTTTCAGTGCTGACTTTGTATTCGTCTTTGCAATCGTCTTCGTATTGCTCCTCTTATTCGCCGTCGTCCTCGTATTCGAATTAATCTGGCAATTGTTTTTATATTCGTATTCGTATTCGTATTCGACCTCGTCTTCGTCATCGTCTTTGTCTTCGTCTTCGTATTCGTATTCGACCTCGTCTTCGTCATCGTCTTTGCCTTCGTCTTCGTATTCATCTTCGTATTCGTTTTCATAGTCATGTCCGTATTCGTGTACGTCTTCGTATTTGTCTTCGTTGTCATCTCCTTATTCGGCTTCGTATTCGTATTTGTCTTCGTATTGATATTCGTGTTCATAATCGTATTCCTATCCTCCTATCCGTCTTCTTATTCGTGTTCGTCTTAGTCGTTTTAGTCGTCTTATTCTTGTTCGAACTCGTATTCCATTGCTTTCGTATTTGCCATTTGCCTTCGTATTCATTTTCGTGTACAAAAACAAAAATACGAAGCAAAAGAAATGTAAATCAAACACATCGAATAACACGAATCGAGTAACATCGAATGTTACTCCAGCAAAAAAATAATTGCCAAAAACCAACGGTAAGTCCTAGCTATGTAATTCAAAATGAAAAATGGAATGACCTATACACCCATTTTTTTATATTGCACGAAGTTTGAAACTTGTATCTATACGGCTTTGCTTTTATAATAAAATACGGCTTTGCTTTTATAATAAAATAATTAATAGCCAAACTTGTCGATATGTGGTTGGCATATAATTGTGATAAGCACTATGTATATAAGATTTGTCAAACTTTATTTTTTCACCTCTNACTTGTCGATATGTGGTTGGCGTATAATTATGATAAGCACTATGTATATAAGATTTGTCAAACTTTATTTTTTCACCTCTTACCCGACTCATATTGAATTTCGGCATCGATGGGTAATTTGGACATCTGCCGAAGCCATAACTCTCCGCACCGTCGATCAATAGNTTACCCGACTCATATTGAATTTCGGCATCGATGGGTAATTTGGACATCTGCCGAAGCCATAACTCTCCGCACCGTCGATCAATAGTAAAAGTGTCAGCAATGCAGTTGCGCATGCGCAGCAAAACAAGTGTGACTGTTTGTGGTTCAACCAAATTGGTGTAGACATTTGGAGCAAATTTCGGCAGATATTTAAATTCACAACAATAATGTACAATTTATGTGTGTGTTTTAGCACTTTGTTACTATTTATTTTTTAAGTCTCTTTCGACTCTTTTTGCTTGGCGCTAACTTTCTTGTTTGCGATCAGGTTAACAATTTTCACTTTTGCATTTTCAGCTCTGAAATAATCACGAAAAACACACTAAATAGATACGAAGATTATCAAAATATTTATCTTGCTGTTGATTGAAATGTAAACGTTGGCAAAATTCAGTGCGTTTTTTTCATTAATGGTAAGGGAAAATTTTTTGTTTAATCGTAGACATGCATACACACATACAATACTTGATCTTTTTATTGTTTAAGTCAGTATTGATTTTTATTCGATAAACTTGTTTTTGTTAGTACAATTAAAAAAAAAATGTATTCAAATATTTGTTTTATTAAGGGGTTCAATAAGAAATGTTTTATATAAAATTTTGTTTGATTTATTTTTACCAAGTTGCTTCTTTTATGAAAATTCATTTGTACGACGCACTCATTTATTTATTTTTTTATTTTTATTTTTATTTTTTATTGTTTTGTTTTATACATTTTTTTTTCATTCATTACCAATTAATATCGAGCCACTAAATTTTTCCCGTCATTGACTATGCGAAACAACTAAAAATCGCGCAATTTCTTTGGCCGCTTTTTGGTTTTTACTCGCTCTCAGAGCATTTTAATTTTTTTTCGTAATAAACCGTTTATTTGCTTTTATTGTTTACTACATAAAACAACACCAAGTCTATCGCAACTCTTGTGGGTGTTCGCTTGAATAGCTTGGTGAAATGTAAATACGTACATATGTATGTATATGTACATAGACCGGTAAAGCCCACAAGTGCTGTTTAGTCAACCAACTTGGCGCACGACAGACAACAGACAACAGTTAGCAGGCGACAGCTGATGGCCAATGGGTAGGCTGTGATTAGCTGTTATGCAAACCAACGACAATGCAAGTATTTATGCACGGACAGCATTCATTACTTGCGCTATAAAAATCGCATAACAGCTGAGAGTAGGATGAGTTAGTAGGTAATGTGTTGGCAACAAAAAAAAAAATAATAATAAAAAATAAAAAAATTAAAATATATACAAATAAAACTCGCGAAATCATAAAAAGCTCAATGTTTACTCCACATGCACATATTTGAGATGTTTGCAATGTAAACAAAAGCGTAAAGGCACTTGTTGTAAAGCTAACGCCTTGAGCTGTAATTAATATCTATGTACGTACATACGTACAATAAGTGTGGCACATTGAGAAAAGCCAAAGTGGAAAATCACGAATTTCCACTTAACGCGCAAATTGAAAAGCAAAAGAAAATCGAAAAAAAAAACAACACGCATTATTATTACATATTGCAGTGGAAATCAAGTGTATAAATCGCAGCAGGTAGTATGTATTACTCTACTTTTGCGATGATCAAACAGGAAGGAAGTGTTTACGTACGCACAATTACGATATTTCCAGTTGGACGTGACGCATACGATGCCATCGTGTTAAAGTGAACTATTGCGGTCACTTCCGATTCCGTTTGACTTGAGCAACAGGGGGCCACAAAGCCTGCGATCCACACTCTGTGACACCTAAGGTCTGAGCAAGTTCTTAGGTGACTCCATCCCTTGCAAGAGTTGCACCTAACCGAAGTGGAGTTCGGATGCAGTCGTCTCTAGCAAACGCAGCAGCAGTAGTAGTCCGGAGTTGGACTCAATGCCCGCCCGTAGAAGAATCCGGGGTTAGATCGCCGAAACAACAGCACTTCGTCGGGTAAAATCCGAGTCGTTCCGTTACGTAAAACAGGCTGCCATGAGATTACAGTCTCTGAAGTGCTTGTGGTCGAGTATGGTGAGTAATCGCGGCATTCATCACGTGGATGGCTTTTTCATGTACAAATGTGCTTGTAAAATGTGACATACCCACTCAGTTGAGATACCTACAGTGTCAACCACACCAAACATTTTCATTCTCCTACCGTCCAATATCATTCCACGAACTTTATCGACGATTTCTGGCGTTGTCGAATCCTTTCCGGCGACCTGATAGTTCGACGTTACTTGTGCTGGTACGACTATAACGGAATTCAGTGGATCTTTTCGTAACCATTCAAATTGATGGTGCAGATTTCACATGGCATCTACCAAGCTTTTCCAGGGTTTGGTGATTATTTTTTATGTAAAAAAATTCTATTGAAATTACTGTCCTTCTCGCAAAAAGCGCTCTGACTGGGCTTTTCATGACAAGAAATCAGTTCTGGCATACTATCCTATGTTGATGGAAGCCACCCGCAGAAAATGATTGAATGTTCTGGTGTTCTTCGCCTGTTGCAGACCTCGACCATTCGCGCTTATTCTACTTTACAGTAAAATATAGATAATGAGAACTTCTTGAACGCCTTTGCTAGGGCTATGCATGAGGCTTTTGAACGAGATTTGCTAAGTCACCAACCCCTAAGCACGTTCACACCAGGCCATCTACTTGATTTGAGCAGTTCCGCTAAGAAACAGACGTACTACTTCTCCAAAGCTAGAGGAAAGAGCGAGGTGCGAAAGCATGAGTATGACAGATGTTGAATTACTTTTCTGCACTACATGTGTTGTTCCGATACACCACAAGCCACGATATTTACAATTTTTCTTTAGCGAATGTGCTTTAACTAATATTTTATGAGGGACGATTTCTTTGAAGATCTGCACAATTCACTTTCGCGTTGGCTGTGTTGGCTGAATTCAACAAAATAATTTCAGGCGAAATTTGAGGGCGAAAACACCTGGCAGGTACTGAAAGTTAATTTGTTACTGTGCATTAAACAATACCTTTGTGCGTCATACTGTACATATTTGGAGAATAAGTTTTGCGTAAATATATGCACCCGTAGGTATGTATGTATGTGCATGTATAGGCTTCAACCAAACTTGGTGTACACATTCACATTTGACACTACCACCTTGACATTGCAGTCGGTTTGATACCAAATATTTTCCATTTAAAGTCACTTTTAAGTATATTCTACATCATGATCGTAAGCTGCTAGAGCAACTCGTGCACCTTGGCCGGCATAAGTATAAGCAGTGATACAATTTTGTATATTTGGGGTTTAAAAATTTATTTTATTAGTTTCTGATTTTTGATAAATTTGTTTTTGAGTGCATTGAAAAAAAGTAATAAAAAAAAATAAATATTTTTTATATATAAAAGAAATTGGCGCTACATTAAATTGATAGCATAGGTCGAAACGTCTCCATATGTGTTCCGAAGCACTGTTTATAATGAAGATTGCTAGCAAGAATTCCCACTACGGATGTCATAAAAATCGTAAACTTGTTATTTCTTACACTTTTTGCACCGCAATTTTTAAGCAGGGATGTTAGTTTGTTTAGACAAATATACATAGTTAATGCTCATATTTGGTTGTAGATTTAGTTTTATTATTTAAATTTTTCCTGCACTTTATATTTATTTTGGCGTTATTTATTTTTATACCCGAGCGCACTTGTGCACAAGGGTATTATAACTTTGTTCACATAACGGTTGTTTGTAACAGGCAAAACGAATCGAGATAGATATAGACAAATGTATACATAAATGATCAGAATCAAAACTGCAAAAAAAAAAACTAAAAAACCTAAATCCAAAATTGAAACTTTTAATCAAAATTTTGTGTTGCAGTGGGAACCATATTTAAAAAAAAAAGTCGATAAAAATTTAAATAAATATTGTTACATATGTTGTGAAAAATTCTCCGTGCCAATACTGTGTACTGTGAGTGTACATAAATACGTATGTATGTGTTGCGAAAAGTGTGTAAAAAGTGAATTGAAAACAAATAAAAAATGTTCACTAAATAATTTCAAAAAATAAATAACGCCAAAATAAATATAAAGTGCAGGAAAAATTGAAATAATAACACTAAATTTACAATCAAATATGAGCATAAACAATGTATATTTGTCTAATCAAACTAACATCCCTGCTTAAAAATTGCGGTGCAAAAAGTGTGAGAAATAACAAGTTTACGATTTTTGTGACATCCGTAGTGCGAATTTTTGTTAGCAATCTTCATTATAAACATTGGTTCGTAACACATATGTAGACGTTTAGACCTATGCTATCAATTTAATGTATCGCCAATTTGTTTTAAATGGAAAAATATTATTATTTTAATTTATTTAATTTTTTCAATGCACTCAAAAGCAAATATATCAAAAATCAGAAACTAATAAAATAAATTTTTTAAAAACCCAAATATACGAAACTGCATCACTACTTTCATATACTTATGCCGGCCAAGGTGCACGAGTTGCTCTAGCAGCTTACGATCATGATATAGAATAGACTTAAAAGTGACTTTAAATGGAAAATATTTGGTATCAAACCGATCGCAATGTCAAGGTGGTAGTGTCAAATGTGAATGTGTACACCAAGTTTAGTTGAAGCCTTTACCTACATACATACATACGATGCATATATTTTTACGCAAAACTTATTATCCAAATATGTAAAGTATGACGCACAAAGGTATTGTTTAATGCACAGTAAAAAATTAACTTTTAGTTTTTACACAGTGCCTGCCAGGTGTTCACGACTCCAGCCATATTTGTTTGTAGCCGTGAATTTATTTTGTTGAATTCAACCAACACCGTCAACGCGAAAGTGAATTGTGCAGATCTCTAAAGAAATAGTCTCTCATAAAATATTAGTTAAAGCACATTCGCTACGTTACGGAGAATTCGTAAAGAAAATTCTAACTAGATTCTGCCCTTCCCCCTTTAAAACTCCTACACAAATTGTTATCTCGCGGTTTGTGGTGTATCTGTCATCATTCTGTCAAGAGTTATCCTTAGCATGTTACCTCTTCTTTTTTTTGGTCAAGAAGGTCAAAAAGAACTTAATGTTAGCTTTCAGACTGACACATTTAGTCGCTTTAAGCTTTCTTCAACTGCTATAAGGTTTTCAAAATGAAGTTTAAGCTGAAGTATTTTTCTGATGATTGTCAGAATTCTCGCCACTTGTTACATTTAATCCATTCTTTATTGGATAAAGGGCACATTTTCAAGAGTAATTGTTGCCGGAACAACGCTTGTGGTACAGAAAAGTAATTCAACATCTGTCATACTCAAGCTTTCGCACCTCGCTATTTCCTCTAGCTTTAGGGAAATAGTAAGTCTGTTTCTTAGCGGAACTACTCAAATCAAGTAGATGGCCTGGTGTGACCTGCTTAAGGGTTGGTGACTTAGCAAATCTCGTTCAAAAGCCTCATGCATAGCCCTATTAAAGGCGGTCAAGAAATTCTCATTATCTTTATTTTACTTTAAAGTAGAATAAGTGCGAATGGTCGAGGTCTGCAACAGGCGAAGAACACCAGAACATTCAATCATTTTCTGCGGGAGGCTTCCATCAACATAGGATAGTATGCCAGAACTGATTTCTTGTCATGAAAAGCCCAGTCAGAGCGCTTTTTGCGAGAAGGACAGTTATTTCAAAAGAATTTTTTTACATAAAAAATAATCACCAAACCCTGGAAAAGCTTGGTAGATGCCATGTGAAATCTGCACCATCAATTTGAATGGTTACGAAAAGATCCACTGAATTCCATTATAGTCGTACCAGCACAAGTAACGTCGAACTATCAGGTCGCCGGAAAGGATTCGACAACGCCAGAAATCGTCGATAAAGTTCGTGGAATGATATTGGACGGTAGGAGAATGAAAATGTTTGGTGTAGTTGACACTGTAGGTATCTCAACTGAGTGGGTATGTCACATTTTACAAGCACATTTGTACATGAAAAAGCCATCCACGTGATGAACGCCGCGATTTCTCACTATACTCGACCACAAGCACTTCAGAGACTGTAATCTCATGGCAGCCTGTTTTACGTAACGGAACGACTCGGATTTTACCCGACGAAATGCTGTTGTTTCGGCGATCTAACCCCGGATTCTTCTACGGGCGGACATTGAGTCCACATCCGGACTACTACTTCTGCTGCGTTTGCTAGAGACGACTGCATCCGAACTCCACTTCGGTTAGGTGCAACTCTTGTAAGGGATGGAGTCACCTAAGAACTTGCTCAGACCTTAGGTGTCACAGAGTGTGGATCGCAGGCTTTGTGG